GTGATCTGGGTGTGAAGGGGAAAACTGGGTGTGGGAAATTAATCTGGGATGCAGGTGGTGATCTGGAGGATGATTAGGGGTAGTAGGGTGATTTTGGAGGTGGAGGGGATTATCCAAGTAATATGGGCAGGCTCTTCCCCAGTTCCTCCCCAGTTTATACTATAGCTAGAGAGCCAGCAAGCAGGGAAGGCGTGGAGCTGACTTGTAACCCTTAGCCATACCCCTGCTTACCAGCCTTTTAGCAGCAGGTTTCAGCAGCGCACATTGGAGAGTGTATTAACCCTGAAAATGTGATTGATCACTAGCACAAATTAACACAGACTAACATGCCTGAGAATTAGCATTTGCTAACTCTAATCTGTAACCTCACCCTAGGTGAAGTTCCTCAATATCAAGGTTGGCCATACTTTGACTTGAGCTAGTCTCAGCATAACCTTTTATTGTGTAAATATAACAGCTGATTCGGAAATGCTGCCAATACCTTTACATGGTACTACGTTGAACATGTAGATGTATTTATGGTTTCTCTTCCTAAATCTGACACTGAGGTGCTTTGCAGATCTAGGCAAGTCACTTCATTCCCTTAATTATCCTTCTCCATGTTTGTAATTGTGGTGGTCCAGTAGGGGGAGCTACTACACACAGCCACCTGCCTCACTGTGCCAGGCCCAAAACCTCACTTTGGGAGGCTCCCTCAGGGAACCTACAGCCAGCTGTCCAGCTTCCTGGAGAGCACCCACAAGCCTGGGCTAACACTACCACCACCCAGGCAGTGGTCTCTGGTAGGGCTGTGTACAGCTTGGGGCATATAGACCCTGCAGGCCTGGGGGGTGTTTTACCCACAGTAATATTTCTGGGTGCTTCTTTCAGCCTGAAGCATCCCAAAATAGTATCAGGTAGAACTGAGGGAAAATAAAAAGACAAACTCCACTGGCCAGGCTAGGAGCAGCAAGCAAGCTGTTACTGCATTACTGATTGGAGCCGCAGAGGGGGGTGTAGAACGAGGAAGTCAGAATACACTTTGAGCAAACATAAGCTATGTGAGTCTTTACAGCTTTGTACACAGTGATCCTTTTAAGACATGACTAGCCCACACATAATTCCTAACTCCTGGTGGGTTTCCATGTTTGCACTTACAGAAAGTCACCTGGAAGCAGCCTGGGGCATTTGCTCGCAGCTTTCAAAATGCTTGCCAGAATGAAGAAAGCACTCTCCACTTCCCCCTAGGAATTTAATCTGGCCAGGTCACCTGACTGATCAGCCTGAACCAAGAAGAAGGCAAAGAGAGAGAGAGGGGTCACTTGGGCTGTGAGGAACAAAAAGAAGGGGAGGTGATTTCTTCACAGTAATATTCAGACAATGATGCTGACCTTCCTTGTTCAGATAGTTGAGATCTTTAGTCAGGAAGTGCTAAAAGGTAGCTGTTATCTAAAAAGCTAGGTAATAAAATGCACAATGGGGACATAAAGGTAAAAAACACCAAAGTTTGAAAAAAAAATAGCATGAAGATAGCAGCGGCAGAAACAGTAGTGGGAGGGTTCCCCTTCCCAGCATCTCCTCCTAGGGTAGCAAGAAACATGGAGGGTGGGGAGGTGCCAGTAGGGAAAACTCACCCACTGCTGCCATTGTGCCCAGCTGAGCCTGACTGCAAAAAGCCCAGTTGGAGCAGGAAGGAGTGGCTCTGGAGCTCTCTCCACCCCAGCTTCTGAAGCAGCTGGAGACAGGGGCAATGGTGGCTTGCCAGGGAGGAAGGGAAGAGGATGTAAGGAACGTGTCAGCATGGGGAATTCTTACTTGTTTCAGAGATTTAAAAAAAAACAAACCCTTCTTGGCTCCTTCTCCTGCAGGATGGCCCTCTGAAAGGGAGCTGCTTCACAGCCCCTGTATATAACTTCCCAGCCAGTATGTAGCCTAAAAGCCTAAAATCTGGGATCACAGCATGTTGAGCTGAGATGGTGCAGCCCCAAGTGGCAGGTGCCTTGGGGGTCAGCCTTCCAGCCTGGAGCTGGTCCCCTCTGGCTCAGTGTACTGTGGAGGGCTGAATGGGGCATGAGGGTGCTTTAGTGTGCGGCTAGATGGCAGGCAACCCCCATACTGTAGCACACTCCTGCCCCAGCCAGCTCTGTCACGATCTACACATGCATTTTTCCACACATAATTACTTCACCCAACTACTTATGGTGTCCTACAGCAGAGTTCATTGTTTTTCTGTGGCCTAATAGCACTGCACATGTAGACAGTGACACTTTACTGCAGAGCTAATTAGTCACTTTGACAGTAAAACATATGGTGTAGAATGACCCACTGATACATTTCAGCTCGTAAATGTGGCTGAAGCAATTTGCTAAAGTTAAATGTTCTTCTCTCACAACAAACTTCCATGGAGTTCTTGCCACTATTAACATCAGTATTTTAACAATAACATTAAATTAATCATTATCTGTTTTCTCTCCTAATGATTTCAGATCCTCATTAGCAGTGGCTTCAGGGGACATTTTACTTCCTGGTGCACTGGATAAAGGATGAAACAAGTAGTTTAGTTTCTGCAAAGAGTCTGAAGGACAGACAGATCAAGAGTGTCAGCAGAATCATGATGTCTGAACAGGAGACTGCAGGTCTCATTACTGTGTACTTTCTAGTACACAGAATAGGTGAGAAGACACGACAGACTAAAGGACCCATATTTTTGACTTGGGATCACTGAATGAAGAGCTCAGAGGGGAAAACATCTCTTCTTCTGTACCTGCCTTGAGGTAAATAAATTTCTCCAGACTCTTTTAGGCCAAGATGAAATCATAAAATCCAAAACTTTTCTACTAAGCTTCCTTTCTATACCATTTTTCTGTCCAGGAGCCCAACATACTTAACAAGGTTATTAGAAGGGATAAGTTTGATGGTACCTTAGCTCTTGTGTGTGAAAGTCAACAAGATTTACACTTAAGAATAAGGCTATGCCTGCCCTGAAGTGCTGAATATAAAAGGACATATGTTCATGTATTAGGCTGAATCAGGGACTTCATGTTGTAAAATATTTTGATAGAAAGAGATCCTTAAATGCAAACTGTAAATATTGCCAATTATTACCATAATAGAGTAATAGAACAATATTTCTAAACAAACTTAGCCTCAGGCTAATCTGAAATTGAGGTCATTTTTTTCAGGCTTTTTAATTAAAATGATCCATTTTTTGAAAAAAAAAAGGTTTATGCATTATATTTTGCCCTGTTTCCTAAGAAAATACATTTTTCCTACAGTAAGATGTTATTTTTCACAGGACTGCTAATGCTTTCTTTGTAAAGTGTTAAGTGCATTTCAAAAGGAAATGTTAACAGTTTTAATAAAATTCTCTCTTAAAAAAGTTTTAAAAAATATTTTAACCATTATTTGAGTAAACATAATCAGGTTGGTTAGATCTATCTGATTTCCAATAATAAACCTTTCCTTCCTTCCTTCCATCCTGATAAGCAATTAGACTTTTAACAAAAAATAATGAAGAAAATCCTAAAATAATGGGACTGTTTAACAAAAATATTTTCTGAAAAAAGGGACATTTTCTGTGAAAATGTATTTCTTCTGGTGAAAAAAGCAATATCCCATTAGCTGTACTATCGGAAGTACTAAGGTAGAATTAAGTCACATTTGCATAAGACTGTCAAATGTGACATACAGCTTTATGCTGAGACAGCAGATTGGAAAACACCGGACAAAATTTCTTTTCAATATCAGTTGGACCTATGTGTCTAAGATTTCAAGATTAATGGATGGTGCTCTTGACAACATTATTGGAAAGACAAATAGGGTGATAAATTATGATAATCCTTTTACTTGTCATGTTAATAATTTTAAGGTTTTGAGTTTGCAGGCCATTTCCTAAGAGCAAGATTCGTTTATGCTACTGGAATTACAAAGACAAAAGGATAGGTGGATAGATGAAGCCACAATATGATAATGAAAACAACTTTCATGCAACTATAAATGCACTATAAAAGATACAATCACTATGTGAGCTTTTAGCTCAAATTCTATTTTGGATGGAATGAAGTACCTACAGTAACATACAGGAATTATTTATGCCAGCCTTAATAATGTTTTTATATCATAATCAACAGCACACAATAAGCATTGAATTTGAAGTGTAAGCATTTTTCTCCCAAAATTAAAAAATTGGAAAAAATGGAGTTTTAATTACTTATATTTATTGATTGGATATCTAGCTGATCAAGTACTCAGCTCAGAATATAGCAAGCACATATGTTATGTATTGTACAAAATCAGAGCTCAAATCATACATTGGAAGATTACTCATCTCCTCCCATATACCAGGAGGTAAAATGTAAAAAAGCAAATTAAACAAAGCCTTTGTTTTTGCTGACGTCATGAGGACACATAAAATGATCATTAAGAAAAATAAATTATAAAGAGACAATCTATGATGAAAGTAAGCATTGGAGGTAGGATTCTTTAAGAAGTAGAGGAATAATAAGTACATACACTTGACAGAAAGGCAGTGGTAGCTGGGTACTTAATATTCTTAGACCCCTTTAATAATCCCATCCTAAAATTTCAGATCCAGAGGTAGTGCCTACATGAGATGCTGACTGTACAGTAGCCAAAAAATACTGTGCTGTAGTGTGTCACAGCATGAATAGTGCTAATACACTACTGCACAGTATTATTTAGGGTATTGCACTATAGGGTCACCTAAAAGATGTTCACTGGCAGTACTGCACAGTAAGTCTGGTTACTCTGCATTTATTTACTACTTGCTAATACAAGTATTAAATAAATATGCAGTAATGCCTGCGTGGTAGTGTCTCACATAGACATGATCAGTGAAACTTAAGTGTGAGGCTCCATCCAACCATTTTACTTGTAAAAACTGCATGGTTTGAATGGTGATATTTTTGGTATTAAACTGAAACTGAACCATTGGAATTTAGGATTTTTAAACCTTTTTAAAGTAATCTCACAAATTTTCTTTCATTTGTCCTAGGCAAGTAATGGGAACAGCAGAAGAGAACCAAACAGTTGTCATGGAATTCATCCTCATAGGATTCAGGACTATCCCTGAACTGCAGGGTCTTCTTCTTTTGCTCTTTCTAGCAATCTACATTGCTACAGTGGTGGGGAACCTCCTCATTGTTGCAATAGTTGTTACTGATCAGCATCTTCACACACCTATGTACTTCTTCCTGGTGCATCTATCCTGCATGGAGATGTGCTGTACTTGTACCATCCTTCCCAGGATGTTGGCCACGTTCTTGACAAATGAATATGTCATCTCATTAAATAGCTGTTTCTTGCAATATTATTTTCTAAACTGGATGGAAGCATCTGAATGTTGTCTCTTGTCAGCCATGTCTTATGATAGGTACCTAGCAATATGCAAGCCCCTACATTATGCAACACGTATGAATGGCAAATTCTGTTTGCAGCTAGCTATTGGGTCTTGGATAAATGGGATGGCTGCTAGTACTATTGTAACTGCTTTCCTATTCCATTTGATTTTCTGTGGTCCCAATGAAATTGATCATTTCTTCTGTGATTTAACCCCAATGATGAATCTTTCCTGTGGTGACACCAGCACACTTGAGATTGTTACTTTCATCTTGGCTTCCATATTCACATTGCCCCCATTTCTACTGACAGTCATCTCGTATATTTGTATCATTGCCACTATCCTGGGGATGCCTTCTGCCACCAGGAGGCACAAAGCATTTTCCACCTGCTCCTCACACCTTATTGTGGTGACACTTTTCTATGGGTCTCTAATCATTGTCTATGTGTTACCAAAAAATAACATATTCAGAGACCTCAAGAAGGTGTTCTCATTCTTCTATACTGTTCTGACTCCCATAGTCAACCCTCTCATATATAGTTTGAGAAATAAAAATGTAAAGGAGGCTTTTGCAAAAGCTGTGAGCAAATATTTGTCTTTGATGAGAGATCAGAGAACCCATACTAATTATTAATGAAATGCAAGTGGCCATATCGAATAAATGAATTGGGGAGTCAGAGTCATTCAATTCTATATTCCTGATATAAAACAAACAAACTAAAACCAAAACGTTATGGTAGAATTCTAGTTCCCCCTGAGTATCTAAATTACAAATTTCTACCTATATACAGGGTTGAATCAAAAGGGGGTGCAGTGGTGCAGTTGCTCACACCTTTGATTCCTACTCCCCTCAAACTTTAAAACTGACTACCTCTGAGGAGCTGCAGCATTTCTATTTGGGCAGCACTGACAGAGTCAATTGACTTCATGGCTCATTGCCATCTCCCTGGTTCCTGTGAATCTCTCTCCACTCCCCAGGTGTTAACAAATATTTCTCCTTCTTAAAGCTCTTGATGTTCCAGTATTCAAACTTTGCTTTCTTCTGCAGTTTAGCTGTCCTATAGCCATTTCTGGTAATGCATCTCTTCTATTTCACAGCATAGCAGACTCAGACTGTTTTTTCACCCTAATTAAAAACCTTAACTCAGGTGTGGTAATATTTACTCAGGTATAGAAATAACTGACATTGAAGAATTGGAGGCACCATGAAGATGCTAAAGAATACTTGATTTTGTGTTAGGAAACTGAATAAAAGACATACATTTTTAATATAAAAGGCTACAGGACACTATCTTTTTTACCATTTTGATTTTTTTTGCCTAGTTTGTTGTGTGTTTTTTTTAATGTAAGCAGCCATTGATCTTTCTGGATCATGGTGTATGTGTGAGAAGTCATCAGGACCTATAATGCATACATCTAGACATGAGTATGGAGGAGTGGAGACTTCCCAGACCTTCCATCTCTCCTTTAGACCATTGAGACAAAATCCAAAGGCCAGACCAAGTCTGGACATTCGATGCCTCGATGACTGCAGTTATATGCATGCCAGAGAATCAACGTGTATATACCACCTGCCGTTTCCCTCATGGTAGACAAGGATTCTACCAGTGGAATTAGTGCACATTCCAATAGTTATATTTATTTTTGCTTTCATCTTCAACTGAATAATATAGCGCTAGCCCCCGCTAGCATATCCCCACCCCCTAGCAAATTACTAAACTTCTAGTTTCTCTTTAACAGGAGAAAAATATGTGTTGTATTATATGTGATGATATGCCACACCATGTGCTCCCCCCTTTTCAAAATCTTAGATCCATCTATGCCCAGGCACTCTTTTGGCATCCTGGTTTAGACCAAACCTGTTCAATAGGCTACCCACAGTTCAGGCATCCACGTGGAAAGGTAGGAGCACTGAAGAATGTAATGGTAGGAGCATAACATGGGGTGTGGCTTAAATTGCCCTATGCCAGGAAGTAAGGGAGACACAGATTCACTCCCCTTGGGGAAAAAAGTGCCTAGAACCTCAGACTCTCATTTTCTAAAATGATGCCCTACCCATTTGGCTACTGCAAATAAACCATAGGGTTAGGTTGCCTTCTTACTCTATAGTCAGGTATGTGCATATGTGTCTGATCTTCCAACTGAGCAGGCTCAGCTTATCATACACAGTTTCATGCCTACAGTGCAGTCAGGGTCCAAACCAGGCAGATAGCTGCATATTTACTTGCTGGAAAAAATGGTAGTAGTGGTGGCAAAGACGAGTTCCTAGTCTATGTTTTCACTCAGTAGCATTTATTCATAGAATCATTAGAATCATAGAAAAGTAAGGCTGAAACGGATGGTCACCTAGTCCAACCCCCTGTTCAAAGAAAAAGTCGCCCCATAAAAGTCCTCATCTAACCAATTCCTAAAATTAGAACTTGCATTTGAAAATATCAAAATGGTTTGACTTCAAAAAATATCACTTGTTTTCATCATAAACTTCTTGCCTGAATTCAGCACAAATGTATCATTAATTACAGTCCATCTGAAATTGTGCTTGTTGGTAAATTTATTATACAGTGGAGCGGGAAAGAGAGAGAAGGTCTCACATGGACATGACTAGATGTTTTAGATTGATTCTTTTATTCAGTAAGCATGATTTTTTTTGTGTTTCTATATTCCCAGTTGAGGCTGGATATTCAAAAGAGGCATCACAATTAGTGTCAAAGAACCAAAAGTTAGGAATATCCTCCTTCCTCCCCCAACACACACACACACACACACACACACACACACATATGTGCCATGTGGAAAGAATCTGATCCCATTTCCTCAATAAAACCATCAAGGAGAAAACAAGTAGAAAGGAATTTCATAGAAACAGAAATAAACAAGGGTCCAGCTTCTATTCCACTTACTAGGCCTCTAGGTAGACTTAGGGTGAGGACACACACCATGCCAATGTGTTACTGATTGAGGACAGGTTCACTATTGTCATAGTTCAGAGGTGTCCGCCTTTCCATAGTGTTCCAAATAGAACAGTGGCATGGCTTCAATACCAGAGGGTGAAAGAGAACACCCAGTCCAGCATTCTTCATAGTAGTTGAGTTGGGAAGGTGCTTGCACATATATTTGGGAGTCCCAGGGAGTTTTCACATTTCTGTTTCGCCTTCTCTCCTTTACATTATTTCAATAAATTTCAATAACCTGAAAGAGCATAGTCTGCACAATGCTTGAGTGACCTTCATGGATTCATAGATTCATAGACACTAGGGCTGGAAGGGACCTCAGAAGATCATCAGGTCCAACCTCCTGCCCCAGGGGCAGGAAGTCAGCAGGGATCATGGGATCCCAGCAAGATAAATATCCAAATGTCTCTTGAAGGCGTTCAAGGTAGGCACTTGAACCACCTCCGGTGGCAGGCTATTCCAAACCTTGGGGGCTCAGACACTAAAGAAGTTCTTCCTTATGTTCAGCCTGAAACAGTCATGGAGGAGTTTGTGACCATTTGACCTTGTCATCACTTGGGGTGCTCTGGTGAACAGATGTTCCCCCAGATCCTGGTGAGCACCCCTGATGAACTTACAGGTGGCCACCAGATGACCCCTGAGCCTGCGCTTTTCCAGGCTGAAGAGTCCCATGGCTCTCAGCCGTTCTTCATAAGGCCTGTTTTCCTGTCCTCTGATCATGCGCATGGCTCTCCTCTGCACCCTCTCAAGCTTCTCCACATCCTTTTTGAATAGTGGAGGCAAAAACTGAATGCAGTACTCCAGCTGCAGCCTCCCCAAGGCTGAGTACAATGGGAGAATGACATCCTGGTAATTCCTTGAGAAGCATCTATGGATGCAAGCCAGCATTTTGCTAGCTTTACTAGTCACAGCATCACATTAAAGGCTCATGTTCATCTTGTGGTCAATCATGACCCCCAAGTCCCTTTCATTTGTAGTGCTAACCAGTGAGATCCAAGTTGCTGTGCTCACCTACTTCCAATGCTGTACATTCAGTGATGAGGAGGGATCTCCTCCCAAACTTACATTTTTCAGTGTTAAACACCATCAGGTTCTCATCCACCCAATACCTGAGCCTGTCAAGGTCTGCCTGGATCACCTTTCTGTCCTCAGGTGCGGATGCTTTACCCCAGAGTTTGGTGTCATTGACGAACTTGGCTAGTCCGCTTCTGACACCAATGTTTACATAATTAATGAAGATGTTAAATAGTATAGGTCCTAGGACAGAGCCTTGTGGGACCCCACTGGTTACAGTGTACCATGATGATTGACTTCCAAATCAAAGATTTTTTTAAATTCAAGATATATGACATCAATCTCTTCTCCCTTATCCAGGTGATAGGTCACCTGGTCATAAAAGGAAATTAAATTGGTCAAGCAAGACCTACCTGCAGCAAACCCGTGCTGTCTATTCCTCAGGATGTTGACGTCAGCCAGTCTGTTAAGGATGGCCTCTTTGATAATTTTTTTTCTGAGACCTTCCCCAGAATAGAGGTCAGGCTGATGGGCCTATAGTTTGCTGGATCTACTTTCCTGTCTTTCTTGAAGATAGGCACCACATTGGCCTTCTTCTAATCTTCAGGCACTTCACCAGAGCACCAGGAGTCCTCGAAGATCCATGCCAGGGGCTGGGCTATGATGCTTGCCAGTTCCTTGAGTACCCTGGGGTGTAAACCGTCAATAGGATGCTAAGACACATTTTTTTTTCAGTTCTCAGTAGAGGGGAGTCTCTGGCAGAGGGCCATTGTCAAGAAAGGAGTGAGGACACAGCTGCTTTTTAGATAGCTTATGCTGAAGAAGCAATGCAAGGCAGGTAATTAAACAAAAATAAACTGAAGAAAACAAAAGGGGTGCATCTACACACTACATTGCTGTAGCCACGTGCTATAGTGATGTAGCATCCACAGGTGTCTACATGTAACCAGCAGCTACTTTGCTGTACCAGCACACTCCCCCAATATAGCATGCTGCTATGGTGAAGTGGCTGCTAAAAACAACTGTGCATCACGCATATGGCACAGTAATGCACCTAAAGGAAGTACTAAAACATGGCACAGTAACAATGCAACATGTAGACTCACCCAAGGAGCAGTAGAGATCTGGCAGTGTACCAAAATGGCCTACTGCAGCACTGGGGGTGGGGTGGGGTGGGGTTAGGTGGGGGTGAAGGTGACAAAAAGGGAAGGAAGCAATGCAATGGGTAATATCTGGAGGACTGACAAGACCCATATCATGGAACATTTGGTTTCCACAACCAGAGAGAGAGGTAGTCAGCTGTGTTAGTATGGAATCAAGTAGTAGGCGAAGCAGGGATGTACATTACAGAGTAACTGAATCAGAGAAACATAAACTTTCATGAACAAGAGCTCACTTCATTAGATGCACCTTTCATTGATTTAGTTCATAAGGTGGACCTCTACCCCAACGTCTTCTTGGTGTCCACAGGTAATACTGAACCATTCCACTGGTTCAGTATTACCTGTGGACACCAAGAAAAGTCCTTAATTTTCCAGGTACAATTTGAAGTTTCAAGTGGCTTTAAATCATGTCAATGGGCTTCAAATTGTACCTGGAAAATTAAGGACTTTTTTTGAACCAGTTGACTGGTTCAGTATTACCTGTGGACACCAAGAAGTCATCAGGG